TAACAAAGCATTATGAATTTGAATTTTTTGAAGACATGGAAATGTTAAATGTTATCAAACCTCATTTATATTGTAGAGTTACTGAGTATATACCACAAATTATTCAATTTATCAAAGGCATTATAGAGAAAGGTAATGCATATGCTGTACAAGATGGTAAGCAAATTTAATATAAAAGATAATGATTTAACTACTATTTTATGTCATAAATTTCAGTTGTTGCAAATGATAATTTTCCTCTTATAGGGTCTGTATACTTTGATACAAACAACTATGGTATATATGGCAAGTTATCAAATCCAACCTTAGGTAATACCAATCCTGACAAAAAGTCAGCAATAGATTTCTGCTTATGGAAAGCAGCTAAGGAGAATGAACCATTTTGGGAATCCCCATGGGGTAATGGAAGACCTGGATGGCACATAGAATGTAGCACAATTGCAAGGTGGTTTTTATCTTGTAAAATAATGTTATTTTAAAAACATGAAAATATGATAAAGTATTTTTATTTTGTATTATATATCTATAATTAGCACAATTTTTGGAAATTCTATGGACATTCATAGTGGTGGAATAGATCTTCTTTTCCCACACCATGAGAATGAAGAAGCACAGTCATGTTGTTATCATGAAGTACAACAATGGGTAAATTACTGGGTACATTTTGGACACCTGTTCTTAAAGGATGTAAAAATGTCAAAGAGTCTTAAAAATACAATCAGTATACGAGAATTTCTTGAGAAATATACAGCAAATCACTTCAGGATACTTTGTTTATTTTCCAATTACAAAACTGGTAAGAGATTAGTTATAAATAATTTCTTTGTGAAAAATCAAGTAACTTTAACTTAATTCTAGTACTAAACCATTATTTTTTATGTACATTTCAGGTATTCAATTTTCAGATAATGTAATGATTAATGCAGTAAACATATTACACAAAATCGAACATTTCATTAATGACTGTAACAGTTATATTGCGGGAAACTGGAATTGTGGCAATGTAGATGAAGTTATGTTACTTTCAGTTAGTTACTTTGTTTTATCATCTTACTCAAATATATCTGTTTTATCAATTAAAGGGAAAATTTATTTTAGTGTTTAGAAAAAACAAAACATAAGGTTAATATTGCATTGGCAAATGATTTTGACACTCCACAAGCCATGAAGTTATTGATGAACTTAATTCGTATAGGAAATAAAATGTTACACGATTCTGAGGTAGATAAAAATTTAGTAATTCGTTATTATCAATAATTTTCTAATAATAATATTACTAAATTACGTTGAGTATACATAATAAACTTATACTGAGTATGCTGTTTGCATAGGGCTTTAAAACCACTTCTAGTACTTGCATACCTGCTATAGCTGCAGTATTAAATTATATATTAACAACATTTTCAACATTTGGCATTTCAAAGTCTACAACAGTAAATGATTGTAAAATAGATAATATCATGAAATGTTTAGTGAAATTTAGAAAGACTATTCGTACTAAAGCTTTGGAACAAAATGTAAAAGATAAAACTTTACTTGCGGCATGCGATGAAGTACGATCAAACCTTTCTTCTTGCGGAATAATAATAAAGGTATTATATTTGAATAATTAGGTTTTTAAATTGTACTCTTTACATTTTTAAACTGTTTTCAGGATAATAAAACTGAAACTGTTTGGGATATTAAGAAATACTGAATCTAAGTCAACGCAAAATTGTATATTATAAATTTTAATAAAAAAAAGCAGTGTAATTGCGTTTATTTTCTTTTACGTCATTATTAGTTACAATTAATCAGCCGAATCAGTAGTAGGCTTTAATTTTTTTGAGCTATTGTCATTATTATCGACATTTTTTCTTTTCATTTCAGCTTTCTTTTCTGCCATTGTCTTTTTTAATCCTTTCATTTTCCTTGTTTGTATACTATTAAGATTTTGTGCTCCAACATGAATACGACCAAAGGTTGTTCCAAGCTTGTTTTTAGACATGTTCTTCTTCTTTTTAATCTGTAATCATATATTAAAAAATAAAACCAAATAATTAATAAATCATAAATCATTATTTCCATATGACACAAAAGTAATACCTTAAGTTCTTTTGGTTTTTTGCAAGCAAGCTTAAAGAGATCATTAGAAGCAAGTTTTGTACGTCTACAAGTTAAATCTACTCTTGGACCTATCTCTTCTAATTCAATTCTTGGTATTCTACAGTCAGACTTTTTCAAGAGTATCCTACAACATAATTTCACTAAATAAACAACTCTTAAAAGTAATAATATCTAATAAGATTTGTAAGAAGTTGGTATACCTGTAACTGCGTAAAAGTATTTTATTTTCAACAGCAGTAAAACTTAAAACATGTTCAAGACCTTGTAACCTAATATTTTCAGCTGGTTCCCTTTGAAACATGTCTACAAATAAATTCTTAATTCAATTCAGGATTAATTTCAAAAAGTTCTCCATTAAAAACTAATAGAGGTTTTATACCCTCTGAAATTTTTGGAACTTTAAAATCTTGTAGGCCTTTATAATTTTCTATACCAAATTCTGCCATGTCTAATAATGTATGTTCATACATTCTTCCCATTATTAGATTATGAGGACGTTTTTTATTGTGCAAAGCAATCATAAAAAGAGGTGCATTATATTTTACAGAGAACTTTTCAAGAAGTGTCACATCTTCAAATGGTAATATATCATTTTTCTTTCGCATCATATGAGCATCTGGTTTCTTTAGATCATACTAAACCAAAACATTAATCTAGTTAATTATCAATATGTAACAATTTATTAATCTTTTATAGTACAACTTACCAAATCCTTCATAAAATCTACTACTATCTGAGAAGAGTTTTTACCTTTGAAGCACAAAATCTGTTTAGCCTCTTCTATTAATTTAGGTTCTTTTCTCAAAATAGCCCTTTTACCCTTCTGAGTAGTTGGCTTTCTACAATAGAAATATGTTTTAATACATGTAAAACATTGAAAAATAGTTTGTAAACATACTAATTACATTTAACCATAACCAAAATGTATCATTTCACGTACGAGATAGAATACTCACACTACTCTCTGCATTACAGTCATGGTGATGATTAATTTTACAAATTATCTTCTTTTAAAATGTTAACAATGATGAAATGTATGAATCTTTATTATTTGAAACATGTCACATCACACAAAACACACGTGGCCCTCCGTAAATTATATGTAACGCACTACATATAAGAATTTTTTAGCGCGCATGTTCACAAATATGGCGTTTGTTAGGTCATATTTCCCGAAATCTTTAACCTCCAATTAATTTTTTACTTATATATTTTTGAATAATTATATTACATAATGCTTTTATAAAAATATATACAGATAATACGAGTCATACAACTTTCTTAAACATTAATTTAAAATTTAAAAATGTATGCATTCATAAGTGCAACATTACATATATATAAACATTCCATTTAATTTAATTAATATTTAGGATTAAGTTTTTTATTATCATAAAATTTTTGATGTTCTTTCTCCTTCATTAATCTTTTATATTCTGCTTGTTTTTCCATTTGTTTCCGTTTTCGTTCCATTCTTAGAAATTCTTCTTCATTTAATACTAAAAGTCATTTATATTCATTATACTTATTTTAATATTAACTTTCAAGCCTATGTACCTTTAATTAATTTACCTTGAATTGAATCTTGTTCTTTTTGTACATTATTTTGTTGCTTCTGGTGATTTGTACTATTGGACTGTAAATGATTTTTCAAATCACTTGAAGTTTTTGATGGTATATACTGTTCCTTTTGTTCAGTGGGACTTTTTGATCTTGCCACTTGTTGTTGTGCAATTATTTGTCTCTTCTCATCATTTAGACTTTTTAATTTGACAATATTATCTAAAATGTATATATTATAGCAAGCTATTTTCTTAAAAGTCAACTAATAAAAAATTTTGCATGGACCTGATTTTTCTTTTTGTTCATCATTTTTATGACTTAAAAATGGAGTTGATTGAGCACATGGTTCTAATATCTCAGTTTGTAAATCAGGAAATGAACATTGAAAATCTTCTTTCTGAAGATTAGTTGTATATGAATCTGATAATCTTTGAGATAATTTTTGTATCTCACATCCTAGTTTATTGTCAAAACATAATAATACTTTCTTAAAGGCATCTGCAAGGGAACCCTGAATACAATTATTAAAGAAAAGCATTTCTACAAGATAAGAATTTCTATAATAAATTTAAAATGGTGTAAAATTATACATACAATTCTTGCACAATGTATTGATAAACCCTTCATAGCTCCTTCTGCATGACAATATCCTATATCTTCATGAAATGTTCCATCTTGTAATTGAATCTTAACAAATGTCACACACCCACATACATATTTACCCATAAAAGCTTCAATAAAATCTAAAATACATAAACTTACAAAATTTAATCATGAAAAATTAATATATCATAAAATAAGTCAAATAATTAATGGAAACGAAATATACACCAATTGTTTGATTAGTAACAGTGTGATTCCATTTTCCTTCACCAAAAGTGCGATTTGCTAATAATATTAACTGCTCATTAAGCATTACTGCTTCTTTTATCTCAAATTTATGTGAAAAAATTCCACTTGTAACAATCTGTTTTGAATTTCCAGGTGGCTAAAAAATATTAACCTCCCTTGTAATTTACATTTTGCACGTTTAATCCATATACCTCAATCTGATAAAGTCATTGTCATTCGTAAAATACTTACAATTTTTATACAAGACGGATAATTATTTAGTTTATCCATAGTAATTCTGTTTAAATCGTTGAACAGGTTTGTATAAAACTATATTTCGCATAATACTCCGCCAGAGTGTATACTATACATTGCTGGAACGATATATGTATAACGAAACGATACAGGAGCAAGAGGGGTGTATGTTTCGCTCGCACCGTCTGACTCTCTTGTTACGTGATGCTGATGATCCGATTTGCCCATGCATCGTATCGGCCTATTTTTACGATTTGTATTTGAAACAAAACTAATTGTGTTAGAGAATATGAGCCTATGGGAAAATAACCCAATCGAACCTGCTTTCCTTTTGCTTGTCATTTTTCTAGCAACGCACAGTACATATACACTTCTATTAGCCGGTATCTTTAATATGCATATCGATTTCATCATATATTGGCGGAAATTTTCAAATTTTCAAATTAAGTACCATTGTTACATGTAATACAATAATTTATAATTCAAAAGAGAAATTATTTACTAGTCTATATTTCCAAATTACGTTTTTACAAATTATACATTTTACATTTCTTGTAGGTACGATATTAATGACGGTAGTGTGATTTATTTTATATATTTATTTATACAATAA